TGAACAACGCATTAGGCCATATATAGATGGATTCGATAGAATTAGGAAATGAAATTATGGGTATAGTTTCGTGACACCCAAACAAGTCAGGGCCGGAATTCGGAAATGAAATCCGTGAAATCCGAGTCAAAAGACAGGAGCCAAACGAGTTGTAAAAGATACTAGTGGTTGGGGCTAGGTGGAACCTTGGCGGTGCGAGGTGGGATAGCGCCCCTTTCATTTTCTTGTTTGGTCCATTCTTGGCACAAGTGTATGCAAGGCTTTTTACAACGTAAAAGATTGACACCGAGCATAATAAAGACTAAAAGCCAAAGAAAAAAGACTACTTCGACGCGCCCCGAGCCGAAGCCGCTTGCCTCGTCGTCGTTGGCGGCAGCGCCAACCCGCGAGAGCTGTCGACATGTGACTTTTTGGCATCGGCATCGTGCTGGTTCAACTCCTTGTCATCCTCAGTCTCAATCTCCTCAAAGAGCTACTCCCGTCGTGCGTGGTTGACGATGGCGCAATGGCTCCGCACCAACGGTAGCATCATCCCGTTCTCATCAAGCCCATCGACAACATGTGGGCACCAGCACCACAACGGAGCTCGGTGGCCCGGTCCCCGGGGGCGGTGAAGTCCGAGGAAACCGCTAGGCTCGTCGTGCAGAATGACGACGAGATGATCGGGTGCCGACAGAGTGGGCACGATAATAGCGCCTGTTGGGTTCACCAATGTGTAGCTGGTCAAGCAAATGTACGTGGCACACATCTCATGCAGAACTCATGTTTGCATCCTGCACAGGTGAAAATTTTCACTGTAAGGCTAGCTTTCATTTGCCGAAAGCAAGACAAACTTGCTTACTTTTGTACTCTGTGCAGTTATTGAGCTACCAAGTGAATATTAACGAGAATATGAAAAGTGTGAGCTACTTGATGAACTCCATATGACACTCATGCTAGTAGTACTTTTATGTTCTTTTGTGAAAGATGGTCATTTCCAGCAAACAACAAACTGGCAGGGTGCTTAAACTACTACAAATAGCATGTGATATCAGTAAAATGTATATTTCGGTGCGTACCTTCTGTGGCAACAGAGCTATGTAAGCAGACAGCACATGGGACAATACGTACAGGTGACTTGTTCAGGTACCTTCAACTCACTCCCTGCGAAGCAAAAATGCCACTAACTATAAGATAGATGATGTTGCCACTTACCAATATAAACATTGGACAATAGCTTAATATGACAGTCTGTTAAAAAATTGCAGCTCTGTAGGTTTCCACTGACTCGGGGAAGATGGTGGACTCAGTATTGAAAATTTGAAATGACAAGAGATATCGAACGTATAAAATAAACAACGATGCTATATATCAACATGCAACTGTCATGTAAACGAAGACATAAGATTTACACATCTCAAACTATTAAGATCTGGTACAAATAAAAAAAGTTCAGAGGATAGACCTGTTGTCTTCCAATTTCGTCTCCAGTTCCTTGTTGTTCTCCCACAAAAGAATGCAATGCAGCCTATGCTCGTTCATGCGCAAACCATTTGCAATTATAGTTCGGTATGAGCAAGTATTCATTGTGGCCAAACATGAAGAAAAGAGAAGTTCATTTAACCAAGAAGACCGAAAGAACATCTATCGTCTCATCAAAAATATTCACGTCATTAAATGGAAGAAATGAGAACAGAAAAGTTCAGTTAACCAAGAAAGAATGCAATGTAAAAGACAGAAAATGGAGCTTGTTTAGTTCCAAAGTAAAGGACAATCATATAGAATAGTGAATAAAATAATCAAAATAACAAATCTCTTGCAAGCAAACCAAATCAAAATCTGCATTGTGCTGCAGCCAGAACCAAAATTAGGTTGGCAAGCTCCTTTAAGTAAAACTGAATTCTATTTGTGTGGTATCTTGACTGCAAGCTATATCTGCTGTTGAACATTATTATTTCAATGCAAACACAGAAAAAAAACTCCAAGTAAAATAATTGTCTTTCTACAACCATCCTTTTCTATCTTCCATCACAATGAGAAAATATCTTGAATCAAAATAACAATGATCTTGAAACAAAATAGATGAAGATGGTGAAATCTAATGCATCGGCCTCCAATGTACTCCCTCCGTTCCAAAATAGTATAAAGTTGAGTCATCTATTTTGGAACGGAGGGAGTAGGTAACAGATATTGGATGCTCTCTCGTTTGATTGCCACACAAAAAACATCAATTAAGAATCCAAAAGTAGTGACCCTTGAAACTTTCCCTAAACCAAAAGGAGAAATCAAGTAGATGCACCTAAAATAGTTACAGGAAAATAGGATTGATATATGAGTTAGCTTGGAGTTCCTACATTTGACAACAAAAGGTTAGAGTGAGCTGAGGGTTTACTTATGTAAGTAACTGTGCACTGTACATGTTGAGGCATGTGGATATTGAATAATACTGGCCTATATGGGATGTGGGCATTTTTTTAGGCAAGGTCATCATTAACTCAAGAGTGGCTATGAAACCTCCAGTGCTCATTGCCCTCAGACTGAAGCCATACGAAAATAAATCATGAAGAGCGTATTACTAAATCAAAGTTATATTCCAATTTATTTTAATAAAAGGAAACTCCTTCGCTGATCACATTTTCTTCAATGATGACATATATAAACTCGTTAGGGTGCTCTGTATCATGCAGTTTACAATCATGAGCATCAGTTAAATTGTTCAAATGCTTTGCTAAGCAATCACCAGTCCTGTGAACTATGGATATTTGAGAAAAAGAGATTACTTGTCGAATACTCCTAGAAGGATGGTGAAGGAAGAGAGAACATACATGCGGGATTCAGAGACATGATGATCAAGAAGAAGTGCACGAGAAGAGAGCTGGGTATTGCGGATGAGTATACCTACAGCAAGCAGACACCACGCCATGAGTTGGTCACTCCCCTGGAGCTCAGAGCTCAGAGTTGGACTCTAGTCTCAACCTTGCGACAATCTACAGTAAGCAAAACGGAAACGAGGTGAGCAAACCGTCGAACCGGTGGCAGGCACTAAAAGAATTGAGAAACACTATGCCCATCCATCCATTTAGCGGTGACTGTAAAATATGGTGGGTCTTGCTGGAAGTAAGCATGTCAGCATCAAAGGAGGCAAGTACTCAAAGTTGCCAATGTAAGAGAGAATTCTTCTTATTTGTCGTGTTCTTCGCTACCGCTATCATCACATCCTCCATAATTTGCATTTTACAAGTTCAGTATATATCCTCATTTTTTAAAGGTTACATTGATCATCTCAAGCTAGCCAATCAACTAAGAACTCTATCATCTCAGGCAGTTCAAAACTAACACCTAAAATTTCAAAAGAATTATCCTTTGCGCACAACAGAAGTGCATTATCTTTATTCGTCGACCAAAAATGACGCAAGGATGCCAAACCAAAAGAAAAAAATGGCGAACTCAGCTAAGCTAACAGAATAATTGTCCACTTCAAAAAGTACAAAATGTCACTTTGAATCCTAGCAATAATCTGTACATGCTGCTTTTTCACAATGCATAACTTACTGACTGATTGGCTGTCCATTGTTCATAATAATGTGTATATTAAGGGAGTTCTTTGCCATTTCTCTTCTCCTTTCAGATTCATCATATTGTAATTTTCTGGGCAGATAGTAAACAGAAGTATCTGTGAATAAATATGAAATCTAGCACCAAATCGAACATTGCGGGGTTTGCTTATTGTACTATGGAAATAGATAGACTTCAAACTCCATTTAGATAGCCAATGAAGTGTCTCACATATTTATATAAGAAAAAGGACATGAATTCCCAAGTCAGGAAGATCAAATGTGGATGCAGTGATCACCTTGAAGATGGGTGGCTTGAGGGGCTCGGAGCAGATCCACCACACCAGCAACAAGGGCTCGAGAGAAGCAGCGGCAGCTGTCCTCCCCCTCTCCCTCAGCTGTCAGCCCGAGACGGTCAGTAGTTCATGTCTTGCTATCTCTGAATTTAAGTAGGATTAATTCTCCCTTTATGTACTGCAACAACAGGCTTCTTGTAATCTAAAAATCGATGCATTTATTACATTCTAATAAGAAATTCACTGAGATGAGCTGATATATTGTTCTCAATTCGAATCGAATCCAACATACACACAGGAGATGGGGAGGGCACCTTGTACCTACCCAGAAATTTTCAGGGGGGTGCGAGATGGCTGGGATCGAAGATGGAGTAGTAGCTCCAAACCTAGCAGAGAACTTTAAACCGTTGTGGTCGATCTGCTCCTCCACGGGGTCACCGCTGCAGGAATAGTGTAGCGGCGAGGCGTGGCAGTGGTGGCGGCGCTGACTGGAGGAGAGGGAAGGCAGAGGAGGAAGGAGAGGGCAGGCGACTGCGCGCGGGTATGGAGTTGCCTCTCCGTTCGCACCACCCGCACCTCTGCATCTTGCCGCCTCGACCTATGTGCTCCGTCGGCACCTCGATGCCATCCCCTTCCTCCCCTCCTCTGCAACCACCATGGTGACGGGATGGAATGACACCTTGCTGCGAAGACGAAAAGTTTGGAGGAGAAGAGCATCTCAGAAGGGCGCCTTGCCGCCTTCTCCAGTGGCGGCGGCTGCGGTACCGCCGATGGGAACCCTAGCCGCCAGTCGGGGGAAGAAAAGAACGAGACGCGAGGGAGGAAGTTGTGTAGGACGACAGCGTTCTGTTCTCTCTTTTTTATCCCCCCACACAACATGTTTTCTCTTCCTCTACTGTTCTTTTGCCTACGTGGAGACAAGAAAAGGGCGCATATTGCGCGACTGTTAATGAGTTTAATTAATTTAATTGGCCCTGCCTCTTTCCCCAAGGTAGGGGAGAAATTAATTAGTGTTGTTGACCCGTGCGTCTAGGATTTTCGCCTAGCCTTACGCGTCTCCCCCAATCCCCACTCTCAATCGAAGCCAAGGAACCAAAAACAGTGGTTCCGCTCGTCGCCCCCACCCTGCGCCGCCGCAGTCCAGCAACCCCCCACCCCATATGCCCCCGCCATGGCAGCCCTCAACCTACGCCGCCGGCACGATAGTGGCAGCATCCCCCTGCCGCTCCTCCTCACCGGCCGGATTTCACGCATCCCCTTATTCCGATCCCCTTTCT